AGTGGCATAAAAAGTAGATCGAGATGCACTACAACCCCCACCTCTCGCTCTAGCCTGAGATGCAGCGGCTCTCCTTGCCTTAAACGAGATCTTTCCTGGCAAGGTACGCAAGATCGGCAGAACTTTCCGACCATATCCATCATCCCATCCCAGTAGTACAACTCACTTATCTTGGCATACGTGGCTTGTACCCCTCGATGTCCTCCTGCAATACCATCGTAAAGCGCTGCTACGACGTCGATCTGACGATTCCTACCGCAGACGACTCTCCTGGGATTCCTCACTTCCCTTCTCACGAAAAGGTGACCGTCTCGCACTAAGTAGCGCTGCAGCATCCTTTGAGCCCTATCGCTCGCATCTCTTAGCCGCATTTCACATGACAGAAGAAGCCCCAGCTCTAGGTAGATCCCGTCGTACTCCTCTGCACGAAAAGCCTCCTTAATCTCCCCTTCTTCGAACTCGTTGTCCTGACTCTCGGGTATTTCGTCCACATTCCCTGCCGGGTTCAACGAGCCTGACTGGTCTAGGCTTTCCTGCAATAACGTATTGATGAGGAGATACATTCCTCCCATCAGGTCCTCATGTCGTTCTACCTGGCCAGGTCCTTCCTCAATTGTCCTCATATCCTCCACCAGGCTATGCGAGCTGGCCAGCGCTAATTCCATCATCCACTGAACATCCTTACCGCCCCAGGGATCCTCTTCTTTAAAGGGTTTGAGGACCAACTCGGTCCTCCTTTCATATCCGCTCGGCGCTTGCCAAATAGGATAGCCTACACAGCTGGGCACTCGCAGTGACCACTTATTGATATGGAGACGAACATCTTCTTCCTGATCCAGAAATCCATCAACTGGGGGCGTATTCTCCACCGCTTCCCCTTCCTGCTTATCCCAGTTGATCCGACTCAGCCCGTCTGCTCGGCTCTTACTACCAGGAATCCGTTCTAATTCGAAATTGAACATCCAGATGTACGTCAGCCATCTGGCAATCCTCGGATCCGATGGAACGTAATTCCTTGGAGAGTAGGCCAGGGTGGTCGGATCCACTCTCAAAATAAATCTCCTGCCGAAGACATAGTTCCGGAAGATTCGCAGACAGTGGAGGACAGCAAGGGTCTCCCTCTTGAACTTAGAGTAGTTCCTCTCTGTCGTACTGAGAGTCCGACTCTCAAATCACAAGGGTCTTTCCTTTCCTTCCATGTCTGCCTGTATTAGAACTCCCCCTAAGGCGGTCGGTCCCGCATCCGTTTCGACAATGAAGGGTCGCGTCTCTGTGGCGTCATAATCTGGCGCTCCTAACACCAACCCTCCTTCTCGGAATTCCTCTTTCATTTTTGCCACCACCTCTTCTTGTTCCTGACCCCATACCCATTCCTGATCCTGACGGACTAACTTCCTCAGGTGTTCAGTCTTAGTGGCAAAGTTCTTGACGAAGGCCCTCCAAAATCCACACGTACCAAGATAGCTCCTGACATTAGTTGTTGAGTGGAACGGAACTGGCCACTCAGTAATCTTGTTCGTCTTCTTCACATCCGGCCTTCGGCCCTTCTCATTGCAGACTATCACAAAGATAGTCGCTTCCCTCATGCAGTGTCTGGATTTGGCCCCGCTTGCCGTGAGGTTATGCTCTTCGAGCAGGCTCAGGACCTTTTCGAGGTCCTAAATGTGTTTCCAGACAAAGCGCCTTACCCCTGGTGAGACTTCGTCGCTCTCCTTCATCGCCGGCCCCTTCACTGCCAAATCGTCAATGTATGGCTGTGTGATATGGGGGCTGACTGACTGCATGACCCGAATCATGGCCCGTTGGACCATTGCTACTGCGTTGGTCCACCCTTGTGGGGCCACGTT